GACACTGTTGGGGATTTATTCAAAATTGAAGGCACACTGAACCAGCATGGCTACCACAGCATCCTGCAGCGACATGCCATCCCATCCGGTTTGCGTTTAGTTGGACCATCATTTATTTTTCAACAGGACAATGACCCCAAACACACCTCCAGGCTGTGTAAGGGCTATTTGACCAAGAAGGAGAGTGATGGAGTGCTGCGGCAGATGACCTGGCCTCCACAGTCACCGGACCTGAACCCAATCCAGATGGTTTGGGGTGAGCTGGACCGCAGAGTGAAGGCAAAGGGGCCAACAAGTGCTAAACACCTCTGGGAACTCCTTCAAGACTGTTTGAAAACCATTTCAGGTGACTACCTCTTGAAGCTCATCGAGAGAATGCCAAGAGTGTGCAAAGCAGTAATCAGAGCAAAGGGTGGCTATTTTGAAGAAACTAGAATATAAAACATGTTTTCAGTTATTTCACCTTTTTTTGTTAAGTACATAACTCCACATGTGTTCATTCATAGTTTTGATGCCTTCAGTGAGAATCTACAATGTAAATAGTCATGAAAATAAAGAAAACGCATTGAATGAGAAGGTGTGTCCAAACTTTTGGCCTGTACTGTACACTGGTAAAACTGCCAAGAAAAATGTAGCAGGTCCGAGATGCTATTATATTAATAGGTTTTTCATGCATGTGATCTAGATCATTTATTTACTACAAAGGTTTAAACAACAGGAAATGCATTTAACAAAATTTTGTTAACTGATTAATCATGATTAAAGCACTTTTTTAGGATTAAAATACCTACAAGTCACTGGTTGTAGCCTGTCAAATGTAAACATTTTCCTATTTCCTCTGTCTTTAAAGAAAATAATGGTAATATCTTTGGGTATCAGTCTGTTGGTTGGAAAAAATGTTCATCTTATATGTAACAGGGTCAATTACACAACAGTACTATGTGTACCCCTATAAGTCAAATGTACATTTGTAATATTAAGTATTACAATTACACAAAATTTGTTTCGGTTGTTGTTACCTGACACACTTAAGCTTCCATAATCAATATGTAGAATGTATGATACTAAGTTTCTGTACCTCTACGTTCACCTTTGGGGGTACCCCACCTCTAAAGGGGTGTCTCTCTCCTTACTTCTTCCCTTTTGATGTTGTGCTCCATGGGAGAGGTAAGTGACATTGCTGTGCTTTAGCGCTATTAAGCTATATTTATAAGTTTATTTTATGCTATAACATATTCCTGTGTCTCTTTGTGTAGGGGCTCAAGTTAATGTGGTTGTAATTGAGGGAGGATTTTGTTTTTACCTCTTGCTGTCAGGAATAAACAGAGATCACCTCTAAAGATATCCACAGTGTGGGCCTCTTCATATCAATACAACGCAGACAACACTAGTCCATCAGCTACTTATAGACCAGGGTTCCTGGTTCGAACCCAGGGTGTGGGAGTCCTTCTGTTCAGAGTTTGCATGTTCTCTCTGTGTCAGTGTGGGTTTTCTCTGGATACTCCAGCTTCCTCCCACAGACATGCAGGTTATTTGCTGAAATAAAAATTGTCCGTAGGTGTGAATGTGAGTGTGAATGGTTGTCTGTCTCTATGTGTCTCTGGATAAAGATAAGCAGTTACGGAAAATGAATGAATGAATGCATTAATAAATAATTAAAATAACTGTGAGCTGCAGTCCTAAAATGCATACACATGAAGGAAATGTAGATATCTTCTGTTATGCTGTGCTCATATGAATACAGCTGACAATAATATCCTCCCGTGTACATCACAGGTAAGGTCACACCCTCACCTTTGCCCAAGGGTGTAAGTATTGTTTTATCAGTAGGAGGGGCAGATATGAACAGGGTTTGCAGGTGCTCTGCCAAAAATCTTGAGCGTCAAACATTTGTATGCACCAGTTTGTGCATTTCCTGCATCCATTTTAGGTTTAAATGTCTTGATTTTTATTCGAGGTGGCAGATGCACACCTGAGCCTTTACCTGACAAAGACCTTTTGTCCATGCAGAATAAAAGGTACATTTGGAAACTGTTTGCACATATTTGTTACATGAAAACAATGTGACTGATAAGAAAATGTCTTGGACACCTCAGTGAGCTCACCTTATTGAGGTGGGGGTTTCTTGTGATGTCGTAGCCCCTCTTCTTGGTGCTGACGCTGCCCTTGCGGCTCGTCCCGGAGTGACAGACCCGCACAGCCTGCAGGGAGGCCAGCATGCTCCCGGCTGGGTGCCCCGGGGAGCCGGCCAAGACCCTCATCCCGCCCGCTGCAGCCGTGCGCCTGCACAGGGAAAGAGCGGCTCTTCCTGGGAGCGAGTTCATGCTGCCTGCAGGCAACAACAACACACAGAGGGTGTTAGTGAAACCCTGCCGGTGCTGTAAGTCACCTTCCAGGTCAGAAAAGGACGCACGACCTAGAAACGTCACACATACCGCGAATAATACAAGTTCATGCTGTGAACAACCGGTGCGAGCTATTAGCTTCACACAAGCTGAGTCACAGTCGTAAACAACTATCAGAGCAGCCATTAATCTAACAGCTAATAAATAATATAAACAGAAGTAAAGTCCATAAATAATTCAGCCGATGTGTTCAGTATATTTAAATTGAAACCATGATGTGTGCGTGTACATTAGCTCAGCTAGCTACTGTTAGCTTCCCGCTGCTTTTATCACAATCACTGTTTTCTTAATGGGACCTTCTGCGCAGATGCTAATGCTAACTAGCATGTTGTTTTAGCTTTACCTGATAACGGTGTGACGCTGCTGTGCCTCTGGCTTCAATCCTCATAGGAGGCGCTTCTTCAACCGGTACTCGCGTTACTGATGTGTTATCAGAGGATGTTGTGCTGAGGATAGACAGCTAACAGCTGATCCAGGATCCTGACTTTGACAGCTGAGCTTCCCCCAACCGGAGCCACCAATCAGACCGTAGCATGGCGGGGTAAGAGCCGGCCCAACCCGCTACACCTCCTCCCTCCCTCCTTCCTCTGATTCATAAACACAGGCTCCATCTTCAGCCTAAACATCTGCACCCAAAACACCACCTATCTCTCTTTTAATACATGTCATAATGCTAAATAACTTGTCATTATGCTATAATAATCACTGCATTGGTATTAAGCTGTTGACTGGCTTAATTCTGTTTTGCAGAAAAGAACAAAGCTGTGGAAAAGAAGCACATTTTTCTTGTGTTAGTCATGCACTGACACACACATCACTGAACTCAAGTCAGTCTGTACAGTCTGTTAATATCCTCTGGTTCCCCCTGCTGTTAGAAAAGCTTCCCTACTCTCTATTAACTTTGAGTCCTGCATGTTTTTGTGCAGTCATGCCTGGTTTAACTGGTCTTGTGGCCCCTGGGGATAATCATTTCTGCCATGGGCCCCCATCTTCATACCAAGTGCACAAAACACACAACACATGGCACTACCCTGCATTTATATGCACAGGGATATTACAGCAATATGGTCATACTTAATGACACAATAACACCAGAGAATGCAATTTCTGAAGAAGTTGCAGGTGTGAATGCTGGAGTTTAATGTGGCAGTTCTTTCACTTTCAGGCTGACTGTGCCAAATGTGTATGTCTGTTTGCTTCAACAGCAACATTTTTTGAAAGAGTACAATTTCTAATCCATTTTGACCCAAAATGATGTATGAAGAGTGAATATTGTGGTTGTGACAGTGGGTTAAAGAGAGCTGTTTAAGAAGCTCTCTGCACTCTGACAGCTGAGTCCACCACTCAAGCTCTGAACATTCTGTCCCATAGAAACCAATGTAAAAACCTGACAAGGACATTTTTACCATGCTCCACACAAGTCTGAATATTTCAAAAAGTCTGAATGGGATTTTAAAGTTTAATTGAAGCCAGAATGTATGAAAGTTGGGCGAGATTTTAACGTTTGAACAGAGTTTCTATGTGAATGTATGAATGAATAAATAGGCTTTGAAAATGCATGAAAAAACTTGAATTTGTGAAATTTCAGTGGGGAAAATTGCCCAGAAAATGATAATTATTTCGGAAAGTTTGAAAGATATAAACTATAAAAAAATACAATCATGCATGTCATAACTGAGCTGCATGTTTTGATGTCTGAAAGAAGTAGTAGTGTGACAAAAATTGGGCAAATTGTTTTTGTGTGGAATAACAGGGTGGGAGTGTTGCAAAGCAAAAAACAACATGATGGTGGACTAGACTGCATTACTATCAGATAGATGTACATTTTATATTGGCAAATGAGTGTTTATATTGTATATATTGACCCACATCAAATTGTTTTTGTACACTTTTATATAAAGAAAGCAGAAACAAGCTTCTGACAGCCACAACAAACAAAATCAAAAAGTTTATAACCCACATTTTCATCAAACAGACACAACAAACTCGAGTATACAGTTAAAATTTAAATATGGAGTAATATTAAGCATGGACTACAGTTCCTAAGAGTGATTATTATCATTCCAAATCAAATGATATCCACAGCAGAGTGTTTCTAAATTTCTTTTTGTTCAAAGACAATGACACAGAAGCACCGTCTGCTGAAGCCCTCCGACATCGCAGCTCCAGTTACATTATGCATGTGTCATGCCCTATAGATAGCTCCCATGGGGTCAAAGAGCACGTCACAGCCTTCTTTGAATAGCCTGAGTGCAGATGTGGAAGACCCTGAAAACCCTGACCAATCAGAGCAGACTTGTGTTTCAGACTAAGGGTGAGTACAGGTATATTCAGACTGACAGGGAAAATTATGTTTTTTGAACATTAAAGCATGTAAACATGTTCAAGTAGAAACCCAAAATACAAGTATGAACCTAAAAATAAGCATAATATGGGACCCATTATTATTTAAATACAAATCTTAATATACAGTTTAATATTCTGGCTTCAGTCTTATCTCGCAACATCAAGTTTTAGTCTTTAGTCTTAGGATTTTGACACAGTAACCTTTTGTATATATAAAAAGCACATAAATAATGACCCCTTCACACGAGCTGTATCTAAAAAAATTTATTTAAAACATACATATATTGTCACAATACATCTCTATTTGGTTTTTTTTTTGTTTGTTTGTTTTTTGTTTTTTTTTTAAAAAAGCAAACATTAATGAAAATCAGAATTGCATGTGTTTTGTTGGTTGTTCATTCAATAGGTTCAGTGAGTCCAATAACTCTGTCCTTCTTAAAAAGACAGACACAGAACATTCTTTTTATTGCTGTCTATTGTTATTATGGATGAAAGGTAAAAAAATCCCACTTAAATAGTATAAGAAATTATGCAAAAATAAGATATTATATTTAAAAAAAGCAAATACACACTGTGTACATCTCACACAAATTGTCTTCACTACAATGAACCTACAGAGAAGAAAAACCAAACCAAAGACAAACTAAAGAGCTGTTATATCCATCACCAGACACAAATTACACAATTTAATACAGCTAGGACAAGAATCACACACAGGCTTCATATCACGGCATATTATCTATTCAGCTGAACAGCTTTTCTTCATTCATAAAAATCTAATTTTTCTTTACAATTACAAACAGTGCATACACAGTGAAAGTATATCCATACAGTACATTTCAGGAGTTACCATCAAATGACATGACGACGACTAAATGCTTGTAGCTGATTGAACAGATGAAGGTGCCTCCTGTTTGTCTTCATTTTCACGATTCAGGAGAAAAAATAAAAAAAGAAATGCTTTAGATGACTACACTGGTCGCACTACGGGAGCTTCTGTCCTAAAAGAGAAAAGTGACAGAGGAGAAGTTAATGATGGAGATCTGAGGATTCAGTACAAGTGGTGAAATGTACAGTGGCATGCAAAAAGTGTTCAGAGTGTGTGTCAGCTTTTGGATCTTACTGAAAGTCGAAGGTAGTTCCTCCTGTCGTTACTGCGTCCAGGCTGCTCCTCTATGGAGGAGTAGCTGGGTGGCTTCTCGGGCCAATCCTTCCCTTTACCTCCTTTCCTCCTCCTGCTGTCCTCGTCTGAGCTCGAGGATCCTCTGCGGCGTGGAGGAGGTGAATAGCTCCTCTTCCTCCCAGCTGCTTTGCTGTAGAGCTCCTCCATCAGGTCGTCACGGCTATGAGCACGTGGCTTGGGTTCACCTCGCCTCCTCCCGGCCAAGCCTCCGCTCTCATTCCTTGAACCCCTATGTGGTGCTCTTGCTCGCCTGTTCTCCCATTCGGAGTCATCGCTGTAATCACGCAAAATGCCCCGTCTGGGAGGAGAGACGTCTCTGTAGCCACGGCTATCGCGGGGGAGACCTCCTCCTCCTGAGTGGTTTGTACTCCCGCTGGACAGGCTGGATATCCTGTGCCCACCTCTGGCTCCGTCTCCACCTCCAGGCCCCCTGCGTGAGGAAAAGCTGGGCACACGCTGGATTATAGGAGGCAGGGTGATCACCCTCCTCTCCACCCCTCTCACCCCCATCTCATCCAGGGCTGACAACATACTCGGGGGCCCCGGGGTGTAGGGGACTGCTTGAGGAGTGGGCTGAGGCGGAAGTTGAGGCTGTAATGGGAGCATATTTTGTGGAGCATGTGAGGCCATTTGAGGTGCTCCCACATCCAGCCCCCTCACCTGGTTCTCCAGGTAGTCCAACACGTGACCGGTGCCATGAGAGCTGCCGCGTGCACTGCCGTTCATGTGGTGTTGAGGAGGAGGAGGAGGCTGTTGCTGGAAGGCCATGGGTGACAGCTCCATGGGAGCCATGGCAAAGTTTTGTTTGGTCGGGTAGTCGGAGTACGAGCCTGGAACAGAAGAGACAGAGTTCAGAGAGGACATAAATAATCTAATAACTGATTTTCGGCCACATGGGGGCGGCAGAAACAAGCTGTAAACATGGACACAATTTCCTCTCATATGTTGTTACCAAAAAGTTTGACATTTACACATCCAGCAGATAAGCAAGTCGCTAACTTTGTCCGTTGGTTTTGGTGGTTGACAGGTAGTCAAGTCACACAGTAACACAAACAAACAACTGATCGGGCAGTGGTAGACCAACAGCTCTTGTGTTCAGTGTGCCAAAATTACTGTTTTTGTCAATGGAGTCTGGTGGCTTTGATGAGAGCACAAGGAACTGAAGCTGCTAACAGCTTCCCTACTGGAAAAGGGCTGTCCAACAAGGCTGTCAGCAAGGTAAAGCAGTGCAATTATTTTAGATATAATGTACATTTAAACTGTTACAGATTTTTTTAGGTGGATAAAATATGTTTTGCTGCTGCTCCCATCCACAGCAGTATACAACACAGCTATCTTTGCAGTATTTCTGCCTGCTTCTCCAAACTTGGGGCACGCTGAGAGTCTTGTACTGTAAGTAACACACTGACTATGGCTAACTACCTCATACAACCTGACTTAAAACGATCCGGACTATCCCTTTAAATATAATAAATATGGACATAGCAGTGGTGTTTACATAGTTTCAGGGTTTTTTGTTTTACTTCATTGTGCTGAAACCAAACCAAACACACGCCCTTGGGTCTGGGCGAGAATGATCCAACAAAGCATTCAACAAAGCATTAAAGGGAAGACCTTTGTGTACTTTGTGTCACTCACCTGAGTACAGTATGGGAACGCCCTGAGCAGAGGCGTTAGAGCTAATGGGAGCGTAGATGGGTTGACCATGCATCCAAGGAACCATAGCCTTCTGAGCCTCTCGCATCATCCTGTGCTGCATCACAGCTGAAATCAGAGCAGAGGATTTTGATATGTAGGCTTGAACACGTACAGACAAACTTATCTGTGCATAAAGATTGAGGTCTCCTGTACCTTCCTCCGGGCAGCAGCATGTCTGTGGACAACACGGGCAGCGGACGTAGCAGCAGCACTTCTGCGGGCAGCACTGACAGCAACATATGCAGAAGAGCATAATGAGCAGGAGAGCACCGAGGATGATCAACAGGACGGTCAGCCAGTCTGGAACACGTAAGACGACACACGATTATCAATATTTAAATATCAGAAAGTCTTTCCAGGCTCTATGTGACCTCAAGTCCCAAAACCTCAATTGAGGAAACTCACGGTACACGATGAGCTTGACTTCACGATCTGAGTCTCCTGTAGTGTCACCGGCAGCGTCAATGGTGCAGAAATACACGCCGTTATCCCACCACATCACCTCAGTGATAACAAGGTCAGCCTCTGTTGACACATAACATCACAAAGTTAGGTTTTAATAGTTCAAAATGCTCTCCATATATATTGTGTTTGCTCGTGTCTTACTCCAGGCAGTGTAGCTTCTCATTTATACTAATGAATGCAGTATTTAGGGAAAGTAGCGCTCTGTTTGGCAACACAATTATAATAGAATCTATGTATGTGTATGACTGCATCAACAGTTCAGAGTGAAACATCAACACTGTCATTATGACGGGTTCAAACTCACTGTTCTGAATGGTAATTCTGCGATTTCTGTAGTCGGCACCCAGTATGGGCTCATTAATGCCTCTTTTCTGGATCACTGTGCGGACGGTACGCTGGCGGTCCGGGCAGTCATTGGAGGGGTCCTGACCCAGCTGCAGAGCGGCCTGAAAGGCTGCAGACACAGAGGGAAATACGATGAAATATGATGTTCAATTTATTGCATATTCTCTTTCTTCTAGACCAGTCTGCCTCATGCTGCTCCAACCATCACATCACAATGGGTTCATCCAAATGACGCATCTCGCATCCACATGTCCCTCACTTGCATCTCTTCCTTGCGTCTTAGCTCTGCCCTCGTAGGACACAGGGGAGAGATGCGAGGATGAGACGTGAGGAGAGAAGAAAGCGACGTCAGTTTGTGATGACAGCGGCTGCTGAGTACAGTTGGATCAGCTGTCAGGAGGCTTTATTAACAGTGATAGAAACTTTTAATGGAGTTTGTGTCTGCACACAATGTTACATATACATATATAATGATAAAGATACAGATACAGTTCTCAGTAGCAGAGCAGCAGTGTTCTCTGTCTAACAATCACCTGCACACGAACAACGTGTTCTGATTTTTAACTGGATGGTGAATCAGCAAACAAATCAAATATAAAACGTGGCAGTGATACACTTGAGTTCAATCTCTTATCTGTCTTCCCTCTGGTATGAAACTTCAGTGATGTTGGGATGTATCAGATCAGTCCGATCAGCTGTCCAATCAATAACTGATATCCAATCAGGGGGGTGTGTTGGTCAGTAAAAGACTTCCACGAAAGGCTGCACTCGTGTATCCTCGCTTTTCTGACAAACTTTTCTGACAAATGTGATTCTGTGTAGAGTTACTGTATCTGACAAAGCTACTGTACCTCAGACAAACTGCTGCTTCAACCCCATCTCCTAGAAAAAACCTACTGCTTTGTTTGGACGAGCATGTTGTAGTGGAAAATGTAATTGCCTCCCGGAGGATTACTGTGTTTTAGAGTGAAAGGAATACTACGATTTTGTACCAGACCACAGATGTAGAGACGGGAGATTGGAAGCACTCTGGTTAAGGTTAAGGATGCAAAGATAGCTGTGTTGCATCTCTATGCAACAACTCTCTGTACTCTCTCTTTCCCCTCATCAGCTCTTCATTTAGTAGGCACAAATAAATATGGACAGCTATCAAATTCAAAGGCCTCATCCACATTGTCAAAATCATCTAAATAATCATCCATGACATTGAAAGTCTTTTAGATAACACTAAACTACTTTCACTGGCTCACCCTTTTCCCCTGTAAGGGCGGTGGCCATGTGGGTAATGTGTCATGATGAAGACGGCAGGCAGCAAATAGTGATGATAGTCAGCACAATTAAGTGTCTAGATGAGCTCAGGGCTACTGTTCAACCTCATGAGGAGGCCATGTTTCTTGTTTTGTGGTGATGACTGAAATGCAAACACCATTCTTCCTTCTGTAGAGTGGTCTGGACCGCTAGAAGCTAGTTACCAGCTAATAACAAGCCAATATAATTTAATGTTAATAAGCCAGTGTGTTCCTAACTACAGTTTGGAGCTGGTAAGCTGTCACTGAGAGAGGTAACACTACGTTTTCTATAAACTACTCCTGTTACTACTCTGCAAATCTCACTCACATTTCCAGGTTTGTTTTCCTACAGCAAGTCATTTCTTGTGAGATTTCAGAACGAGACTTCCGCTTGTCAAGACAATAATCAACCTACTGGATCAGGCGAAAGGTAAAGAGACACTTCAGCCCACTTACAGTAACAATCTGAGCCTCTCTGTGGCAAAAATAACCACTTTTAAAGGAGGTACAGTGATGGTCCTCAGTTGCCTCACATGCTGACATGCCGGCTGCTGCCCTCTCGCTCAATACTGGACCAACTGTTGTTCACACAGTCTCAAATACATGAGAAAATATGGTCTAAGTTGAAAAATGCCAAAGTTATCCTTTAAAAGTAACCAGATCCAAATCTGTTTGCAAGTCTCGGGGAGCACTACTACATGTGTTGCTCCAGAGTGAGCTGTGTAAAGTGTGATAAATTGCCTCAACTGAGGTCACCTAGGTCAGTGTTGGCTGGGGCTGAAAGCTACCACTTAAAAATTGAAAGAGAAATAAAAATCTAAGGATGCTGAGTTAAAAGAACTCCGTTTACCTGACCGCTGTAACCTGCTCCTTATCTCTGCGTGAGGTTAGCAGCTCAAGGCTACATCAGCTGCTACCAGCAAAACACACCGTTTTCCATCTGGTTGCACTGCGAGTAATGGAGGTGCCAGGTTTTGACAAGAGGAATGTGTGGAATTTAAAAGGAAAAAACGCTATCTCTGGTTCTGCTGCATGGAGTTTGATGCTAAAAAAACTGTTCATCATGAGCCTGACTGTGTTAACCCTTTGAAACCTGGAGCGACAACACTTTTCTTGTGCCGCTTTCAGACGCCTTTCACAAGTATTTAAACCTTTAAACCCTGAGCTAATTGTGTGATTTCTTTCAAAAACATGGGAAAAAGGCACTGAGCAACCTGGTTAGAAATGCCCCATAAACTGCAAAAAAAAAAAAAAAAAACAATGGAAAAAGAAAAAAGCTAGGGAAAAATTATTATTATTATTACATATTTCAAATTATGGAACCGAATTATTGTAATTTTTAAGCAGTATTTTCGGGTCATTTCGTACTTTTCTAATTTTTTAAAAAACTTTTTTTAAATTAATATTCTTGTTTTTAATTTTCTTTTTTTTTCTTTTTTAGCAATTTCTTGTAATTAGAAAATTACTTTTTAAAGCTAGGGAAAAGAGGAGAAAAAGGCTAGGGAAAATTATACTTAGAATTTATAATAATATTACATATTTAAAATGATGGTACAGAATTATTGTAACTGCATTTTCAGGTCATTTCCTTGTTGTTTTTTTTAGTTTTTACTTTTTTTAACTAATATTCTTGTTTTTAGTTTTCTCTTTTTATTAATTTTTTGCCAGTTTCTTTCATTCAAAAACATGGGAAAAAGGAAGTGAGCAACTTGGTAAGAAATGTTCCACAAATTGCAAAAAAATTTAGAAAATTATTTTTTTAAAAGCTAGGGAAAAACTATATTCATAATTATCATTGTTATATATTTAAAATTATGTACATAATTATTATAATTTTTAAACTTTCTTTTTCAGATCATGTCGTTGTTTGTTCTTAATTCTTTTCTTTTTTTCCTTTCCTTTCTTTTTTTAACTTATTTTCTTGTTTTTATTTTTCTCTTTTTTAGTAATTTCTTGTAATTTTTTTCACATCATTTTTTCTATCGTTGCCCATTGCCTTCTTCCCATGTTTTTTGAAAGAAATAAGGTTTCAAAGGGTTAAAGGAGTACAATGCTAAATTTCTGAGGTGGTCTTTTAACACTGGTAGTGCTTGAACATGTTTGTAAAATAGCACTAATCATGCTTTAGTTGCTACATGCAGATATTGTATTGCAAGGGTGGATACTATGGGGAAAAACAAATAAAACCAGAGACCATATTGTAAAGGGATCACTCCTGCTATGATACAGCAATCAGTGACTTAAAATAAAAGTAAGCCAGCATGGGGGAAATGGCCCCTTCCCTACTTCCTACCCTCCTACTTCCAGCCCCCTTACTCAGACCACACCCATCCTCGAACTCAGCCTTCATTTTGACTACACACCTGTGAAGTTGCGTGAGCCTGAGGCGTAAAGTGATGTAACGATTTGATGTAAAATATCTAAAAACATCTACTTAAAAACCACACACAATATTCAGCTATATCATTGCTCTCTCCTTCCACCTGCAGCCTCACCTGTGGAGTAGTACTCCAGCACCGGGTCTTTACAGAAGGACTTGTACCTCCAGGTGACCAGCACATCCTGAGGGTTCGCTGAGGTCGAGTAATCACAGCGAAGGATCACAGAGGCAAACAGAGTGGTCCTCCTCTCTGCCTCTGGAACAATCACCTGGATGGACAGCAGCTCTGAAACAAGCAGGAAGAATAACGATAAGATAAAAAGTAAAAACAGCAGCAGCACACATGACGCAATATTCAAATCACTGTACCTTCAGACAGAAAAACCTGTCACGAATCGGTGTCACAGCTTTGAATGCTGGGTTGATAAGAATCTGACCAGACTGGTTTACAGTTTACTACAGAAGTCTTTAAGTGTGTACGTATTGTACTTAACCATTAGAGATAATAACAGCTGTCAATCATGAGTGGCACTGCTGTGGAGAAAACAGGCTGATGACAGGCCACCTCTGCTAATGAGAAAAGATCAGCTATTGAGGTCAAAGTTTAAAACACTTTCCCTTTTTAACAACATGTCCAAACCTCTGATAGAGATGCGTGATTGTTACTATCAGATGTGTTAACAGTTTTTCTTAGTTGATTTAAGATACATACAGATAGATGAGGGCCATTGATCCATTAAAAGTCAAAAAAGATCGAGAAAAGTTTTCACTATTTGCCAGAGCTCAAGCTAACAACTTTAATATATAGCTTGTGGTAATGACAAATAAAAAAAATCAGCGTAGTAAAAAATAGCACTGTGTATCGAATCAGTTTTTTAAAAAAATTTTTTGGTCGCATATTTGACCCAGGCACATCACAAAATGCGGCAACAGAATAAAAAAAGAGCTATCACTGCCCAGAACCAGTAGCAATAACATTGACCAGCACACTATTGCTCTCTACCAGTGTCTCCCTTGCTCTCCCCTTTCTTTTCCCCACACACACACACACACACTTCACGTCAGGACATTGACATTGTCCTGTAAGGTCAAATGTAAAGGTAAAGGTAAAGTTCCACTGATTGTCACACACCTGAATGTGTGAAATTTGTTCTCCGCATTTGACCCATCCCCTGAGGGAGCGGTGAGCAGCAGCGGTGCCGCGCTCGGGAATCATGTGGTGATCTAACCCCCCAATTCCAACCCCTGATGCTGAGTGCCAAGCAGGGAGGCAATGGGTCCCATTTTTATAGTCTTTGGTATGACCCGGCCGGGGATCGAACCCACGACCTCCCAGTCTCAGGGCGGACACTCTACCACAAGGCCACTGAGCTGGTAAATGTCAGCTGCCCCGACATGCAGAGAGCAGGAGAGAACGTTAAAAAGAACCGATAACGTTGGAGCTTATCAATACTGCCTTTAATAATTGTGCATCGGGGCCCGTTTAATACCAAGTACCAATCCTTAGCTGGGCCACTCCCGAGCCAGATGTGGCTCATGGGCCACCAATTGAATAGGCTCGCCTTTGATGGTATTTTTTCAGTTTTTTTACATGTGATGGGCATTTGTCTTTCATTTTATAGACCAAACTATTAACTGATAATCATTAAGGCTTTACTATTTTTATTAGCACTTACTCTACTTATTATTTTTTCCCATTAATTGATTTAAATTTTAGTTTATAAAATGTCAGAAAATAACGACCAAAGCGATTTCTTCAATTTGCTTCAACAAACCAAAACCTAAAGATATGTTGTTGTTTTTTTTATCATTTATTAATTTTGCACAATTTAAAATATGCAAAATGACAAACATAAAATAAACAGTGCAGGGAGAGGAAGAAAACCCAGTGGGCTTGTTTAAAGCCGCCATCTTTCACCTAGTTAATAGACAAACCAATAGCATGACATAACATGACAACATAAAAGCAATGGCAAACTAATAATAACAAAATAATATATAACAGCCTGACAACAACAGCAATTTTTAACAACAATATTTAATAACAGAGCTGTAATGACTAATCGATTATTGATAAAAAAAGATCAACAAATGTATCTTCCATACTGTCAGACTTCTCAATCAGTATTCATGAAATACAGAGGAGCATGTCTTTGGAACAACCTTCTTCCATCTCTGCAATCATCATCTACATTAACATCATTTAAAAACCACCTGGAAAGGACTCTAATTTGCAAAGACTCTTAAAACTTCATTGATTTATTTGTAATTTGTTTGTGCGTTTTGTTGTTGTTGTAATCAAATGTGAGAATTTGCTGAGTTTAAGTTTTTCTTACATTAAACTAAATATCTTAACATTTCATGACATCATCCTATAGGCTCTTGGGAAGTGTCATGGACATTTTTTAATTATTTCTAATGGTTTATCGACCAAACGATAAACTGATTAATCCAGAAAATAATCTGCAGATTACTCAGTAATGAAAACTGCAGTGACAGCCCTGTTAAATTCACTGCAGCCAATTTTCACATGGAGATACTGAACAAGGTAAGTTTTGTCATTTTGGCTCCATAAAGGACTTTAAAGTATATTTAGTTATCAAAATAATTTATTAACTTTCTGTCGATTATTGACTTATTATTTCAGATCAACAGCAGATTAACTGATAATAAAAATAAACCTTATTTACAGCCTTATGTCCTCAACATTTGTTCACTATGAAGATCAGATCTAATAAAGAATTATATTTAAAAGTCTCTTCTACAAAACCAGTCTGTTTCCACTGTGTGAGCTGTCTGGATGTTTCATATTTTGGACAACATGTTCATAAAAACTATTAGCAGTGTGCGTCACGTGACAGCAGTCGGCCTTGTCCTGTTTACACCTGTCGATAATTAACTTGTACACATCACTGTTGGTTTCGACTGTTTGCTTTGGTGGCTTCACCCTGAATTCTTGGCTTTACACTGACAACAACTGACTTTAATAGAGAATATATGTGAAGTCTATATAAACGTCTTAGCTGTGACACCTTTCCAGCCTCACCTGTGGGCAGGTGCGCCAGCAGCAGCGCCATCAAGATCATGTTTCCCATCTCGTCGCTCTTTATCCTTCCGCGGAAGCTTCTCTCTTTATCCTGTAGGAGACTGAAAATGCAGCACAAGTCCTGAATATCTGGAGGAAGACGTTTTGTATCCGCTGCTCTGCATAGTAACTCTTCTTCTTACACTTTAAAGTACATCACAGTGAGGCTGCGTTTGTTCTCTGAGGAAAAGGACGAGTCTTTACAGCCGCATCGAGGAGCAACTTTCCCGCAGAGAGAGGAGTCGATGTCGGAGGCGGATCATCCGCACCCCTCCCCCCCTCCTGCAGCAGCTTCAGGTGACATCACTGACCCCGCCCCCTCTGACAGGTGCAACATGGAGGGGGAGAAGAAGAGCAGGAAGAACAAATACAGGTGATGTTTCCTCCATTGTCAGCAGAAAGAGAAGCAGGTTTATTGACACAGATTTGTAAAGTAGGTCTATCTGTCAATCTCAAAACTCAAAAATGAGCCCAACTGAGGAAAAAAATTGCAGCAGTAATGCTTCATAGTTGTTATTGCATTATATATTAAAAGTATACTTCATGGATTTAGTGGAATATTATGTTTTCAAGGTCAAAAGTTTTTGCGGTCAATCTTTTCAATTAAACACTTTTTAAGAGGATATTCTGATGTGTTGTACCTGTATTTGGGGCACTACTACCCAGCAACCTTTGTTTTTTCGCCAAATTGTCCACTTACAATACATACATTATTCTGTATATATTTCATATCTATGACGTGATCATTTATTGTAAGTTTTAGATATGTAGGGAACTGTAGTGCAGACTCGGGTTGACATTCCTCTTATTTTCATCCCCCTTTTTTATTCACTTAAAACAATTTATTATTTAAATTTTAAAAAATGCCACAGTGCCTCATGATGATGTCCCAGAAAAAGACACCCTGTGTGTCTTAGATGGGATGGGATAGGAAACGCATACAGTGCAATAGTGGAAACTTCTATTTGTTACAGTTGATAACATGATGGGAAGTCGGTGGTGATCGTGTTTTATGGTTCTAGTCCATCATGCATCATGGTTATCATGGACGAACACATTTGTATGTGCTGAAAATGAACCCCCTTAACCCCCTAAGTGCACATATACATTCAGAACAGGTCATATCTGATGGTCACATAAAGATCTACATACTGTCTCAAAATGTTCCCTACACAGCTAGGAATAAAATTCAGGTTTATTTATTAATTAATTTGCCAGAGCTGGTCAAAATTGACCATACTGAGTCAAATATGGTAATATCATAATGTCATATCACATCGTGCCATATCGTATCGCATTGTGCTGTATCGTATCATATCGTATCGTATCCAAACAGTATGGAATCAGCCCATAGATCAGCCTTTATACCCAAAGTTTTTCCACATATCTCTGTCCAAGATCACTTTCATATTTACTGTCTATTAACAACTGTATACATCAAACACTCCATAGCGTAAATGCGGAAGTGTTGATCAGACCTAAGGCAACTTACAGCTTAAAACACTTACCATGAGGAGAGAATCAATTGGGTGATCTGAGGGCACAGTAAATATGGTGAACATACAAAGTAGTGATTTGAAGATGCAATTTATTATCTAATGTCTTTCCCAAACACTTTTTTTAGTCATTCTCTTCTTTCACAGAGAAGTAACAGTGGAAAAACAGCCAGTTTGATTAGCTAATTACTTGTTTATTAATTAGTTCTGTGCTGTGTTTTGCTGAGCTCAGCCTCTGGTGAGTGTGTCGTTTACAAGTCAGATGAATACACTCTTTATGTAAATGTTACATCTTAAGGCTTGTTTTAACCCAGCTGTATAAAAGAAGCGAGTCCTGCATAATCTGAACACGCTGACTGAAAGCAGGTCAGCTCGTCTGATGGTTTTCAATTATCCGTTTGTTGCAAACAGCCCGAGTGTAAAGTTCACTCTCGGGATGAGTCATGTATTGGGTGAGCGTTGGAGCTCTTTGTGCGAGAGATGTTTACGCCTCTTATCTAGGAGGTGGACCCCAGCGAGCTCCACCGTTGACACAAAACAAGCCCGCCTGGGCTGAACTCAAGTGCTGCTCTCAGCTCGCTGAAGTGTGCTCGAAATCCTGTGAAAAATGTTGCGTGGATGAAAAGCTTTGCAATCACATCTGTGTCTGGCTGCACTGTGAACCTCCAGACATGCCAGGTTTTTACATTCCTTTCTTGGTGGTGTGTGGAGAGGACGAGCAGTAGCTTTCATCTGCTGCGTTAGAAAAGTTAAAAAATGTTCTGTTGTTTTATTTTAACCACATTTAGTCGCAGTTTGCTCTAAATAAACTGTAGTAACGTGGTGAGGAAAGGTCAGAGAGGTGAATCTGATTGCCACCCCTAATCCCCCCCACCAGAGTCAGAGGATGATAGGTAGTTGGCTTGTTATTATCATGAATGGTTTGTTGATCAGACCTGCTGGATACAGGCCCACAGTCTCGGTGTGAAGTGACTGCTCAAATTTTTTGTTGGAAAGTCGATTAAAGGACTATCAAGAGATACATAACAACTAAAAACAGTCGCAAAATGATCACGATTGCAAAACAACTGCAAAGAATTGCATAACAACTACTGAGACGCAAAATAACTACAAATAGATCTGAAATAATTGCAGAGAATTACAAAATGACCACAAATAAATGTAAGACCACAAAGAATAGCAAATTGGCAGCAAGTTAGTGCAAAAACACTCCAAAGAGCCCCAAAACAACCACAAAGAAATGCAAAATGATAACAAAAAACTGCAAAACAACCACAGAGATGCAAAATGACTACAAATAAATCTGAGATAACTAACAAGAATTACAAAATGACTACAAAGAGTCACAAAACGACCACAAATAGATGCAAAAAGACTATAAAGAATAGCAAAATGACAGCAAGTTAGTGCAAAAACACTTCAAAGAGCCACAAAACAACCACAGTGATGCAACATGACTACAAATAAATATGCAATAACTAAGAAGAATTGCAAAATGACCACAAATGGGTGCAAAATAACTTTAAATACACAGGAAGGGACCACAGAGACAAAAAACTACAAATACATACAAAATGACTACAAAGAATCCCAAAACGACTACAAAGAGATGCAAAATGACTACAAATAGATATGAAAAGACTACAAATATGACAAAATGACAGCAGGTTAATGCCAAAACACTTCAAAGAGTGACGAAACAACCAAAGAGATGCAAAACTACTACAAAGAGATCTGAAGTGACTACAAAGAATTGCAAAATGACAGCAAATGGATGCGAAAAGACAGCCACAAAGACACACTAAATGACTGCAATTTGATGGAAAACAATTACAAAGAATCACAGAACCACCACAGGGGGACACAAAATGGCTACTAGTAGATGCAAAACAACTACAAAGAATCACAAAATGACTAAAATTAGACACAAAAAGACTCCACACACTCACAAAACGACCACAAAGAGACACTGTAATATTCTTCAGTTAATGTCTTGAGATAATGATGTACCATTTCATATTTTATATAAACATTTAAAGCGGCACACATGCTCTATGTGATAAAGTTTGCTGATTGTGTGTAGTTCTGAGGTTGTTAATAAAGCTCTAGTGTTTATTCAGTTGTGTGTATTTGATAAGCTGCGATAAAAAAACACAGGCTTTATCCAAGTTACATTACACACACTTTATCACATTTATACTATTGTTGAACACAATCACCTCTCAAACATCAGATTCTGTGGATGACAAGAAGTGTTTTATATCAAAATTAATTATGTTGAAACTATTAAAATGCATATTAATGCATAAACACCAGTTTGTGTCATCTGTGAATGGGGAAGAAAGGTGATTTAAGTGACTTTGAATGTGGCATGGTTGTTGGTGCCAGACGGGCTGGTCTGTCAGAAACTGCTGCTCACACACAACCATCTCTAGGGTTTACAGAGGATGGTCCAAAAAAGAGAAAATATCCAGTGAGCCAAAATGCCTTGTTGATGCCAGAGGTCAGAGGAGAATGGCCAGACTGGTTCAAGATGATAGAAAGGCAACAGTAACTCAAATAACCACTGGTTACAACCAAGGTCTGCAGAAGACCATCTCTGAACCAACAACACGTCCAACCTTGAAGCAGATGGGCTACAGCAGCAGAAGACCACACCAGGTGTCACTCCTGTCAGCTAACAACAGGAAACTGAGGCTACAGCTCACACAGGCTCACCAAAACTGGACAATAGAAGATTGGAAAAACGTTGCCTGGTCTGATGAGTCTGGATGAGCCTCCACAGTCACCAGATCTCAATCCAATAGAGCACCTTTGGGATGTGGTGGAGCGGGAGATTCGCATCATGGATGTGCAGCTGACAAATCTGCAGCAACTGTACTAGCAAGATGTACCTAATAAAGTGGCCGGAGAGTTTAGATTAAAATCTAGTCCAGATTCGGCTGAGGCACTTTATTACCTTTGATTACAACTACACATGAAAAGGAGACTTAAAATCAAAGATAATGTACACATTTATATGACAGAAGAATAGTATTTTTTTTGCCTGAAACTATTTCTTAACACCTATGCCCGAATTACTGCAGTAGATAAGGGCCTGAATATGTGTAGTTAAGGCATTGGGCAAGTAATCATGAAAAACAAAACAAAACAAAAACTATAAAAAGAAAAAAACAAAAACAATATCAATGCTAAAAAAGTATCTAAAAATTAAATGTTCTGTTGTTAACATCACAGGATTTGAGCTGCAGAGTTGATTTCATCATACAGCAAACACTAAATTTTTTATATCAAATACATATGTGTTATATATGTTGACAGCACCTTGGCTTCGAGGACCTTGGTCAATAAGTAATGAAACAACACAATATGTAAATTTAAGTCAGGTTACCTGAAGGCTAATGTATTCTGGTTTCAACCCAGTTTGAATCAGGATGCTCCCAGTCAGCTAACTGTAGAGACTCTGTGAAATGTGACTGTTATGCAGTGTCTATACTGGCCATACTGGGTTTTCTGGACATAAAAAACCCTTTCTGACATAAAGCTCTAGTTTTATTCACGTTGATGTTTAGAGAAAGTACTTTATTCTGTTTTATACTATATGGTCAATGAAAATAATTTTAATTCTTGTTTTGTGAAGATGTTTATCATCATCATCATCATCATCATCCGAAACATACTTCTGATTTATAGTTCAGCTACCTTGTGAACATCAGGTAACTCGCTGCTGGCAACTTTTAAGGTGGAATGTTAATGTGATGTTACTCAGTGCATGAATTGATGACGTGAATCCATCAACACACCTTAAATTTCACTGTGACAACTTTGACCATAACCAGTTTTTATATGACATACACTTTTGGTAATGAGTGGATCTTCAAGTGTCAATATATATTAATTTCGGCCGGATTATATAAAGCGCGCATATTAAAATCCTCACTCTGAGGGGAAAAAAGTGGCATGGAGCGTTGTTCCTGTGAACTCCAGCATCACTAAATCCCTGAGCTTGCCTGAGAAGGACTAAATGCACAAACCTGCTATTTTTAAATATCCCATGGAGAGACTCTCACTGCAGCCTGTTTTATTTTGTTCTGAAAACGTCGACATGCAGCCTCGTTCTGTGGACGATGAACGAGGTGCAGACTTCCCTCTGTGTCACCGGTAATAAGGAAATACAGTGAGTGCTGGACGGAGCAGTGAGTGACAACAACCCCGCCCACATTTAAGGGGACTGTTTGCAGTGGAGTAGGGTGGACTAGGGTCTAGGTATCATGTCTGAAGGGTTACTTTGGGTTCCAAAGGTACCATAACAAAAGTGTTGGGTAGAAACAGGGCTAATGTCACCAAGCTTTGAGCACCACCCTACTGTAAAATTCTCAAATAGTGGCCGTAATTTACTTCAGTAGAAGAGATAATCAGACTCTTGTGTTGGACAGGCTTATATAAGAGACAAGCCTCTACTTCTTATTTCGACTCTTCCCTACACTATGATTTGAATACTGGCTTCTACATGATAATTTATAATATTTGTGAGGATGCACAAAATAATTTTACTTTGGCTGTTTGTGACGGGGAACTAAGCCAATCCATAAACCCAATAAAATGTTTTAGTGCATAAAAGAAAAGATTTTAGAGCGTTATAACAATCAGTAACACAAGGTTATTAATACCGGTTTCTGCTTTGATCGTCATTGTAATCAAGGCGGTCACGGCTGCCTCTGTTACGATCACACTGGTCATCAAGGCGATCACGGCTGCCCCCATAACGATCACGCTGATCGTCAAGGCGATCCCGACTGCCTCCATAACGTTCGCGCTGATCATCAAGGCGATCCCGACTGCCTCTGTAACGATCGTGCTGATCGTCAAGGCGATCCCGACTGCCCCCATAACGATCGCGCTGATCATGAAGACGATCCCTACTGCCCCCGTAACGATCATGCTGATCGTCAAGGCGATCGCGACTACCTCCATAACGATCACGCTGATCGTCAAGGCGATCACGACTCCCACGGCGGCGATCATGCTGATCGTTCTGGTAACGCTGAGAGTCAACATCACTGCCCTTGCCATCGTACCTTTCTTTGCTGCTATTATAACTGTGGTGATCGTCCTCAAACTTGTGTGCAGCTGGTTCTTCGCTGTAATTGTTTGGAGGAAGGCCTTTGACTTCATGCTGGTTGACCTGCTTTGTCTCGCCCTTCGACTTGTCATCCAAGTACGGCTCTCCAGCTTCAGGAGCGTCTCTGTCATAATACGCCGTTTCTTCAGGGGAACTAAAAGACAGACAGATGTGAAATACACAAAAGAAGACAAAATGGTGAGACTGGGTTGTTGGATGATTAGATACTAACAAAAAATACACAAACATAACTGTTGAAGGTAGTTTACAGTGGCAAAAGCACACAGGATATTTCACACATACCCTTCAGCATACTTCTCCTTTTTGCCCTTTTTCTTGCAGCAACAGAAGATTAAAATTGCCAGCAGCACAACTCCTGCGAGGACTCCTGCAATTATACCTGCAGTGGACCCAATGTTCATGCTCCCTGCGGAGAAAGGAGGAAACACAAGTGGTGTTCACGCTGCAGATAGACCAGAGCTAAGATCAGCAGGTAAATCATGTTAAAACACTCACCAGGAGTCACAACTAAGGTATAGTTGCATCTGGCAGAACCAATACGATTTGTTGATGTGCAAATGTAGAACCCAGACGTGTCTTTTGAAATATTGAACAGAGATAGAATTCCATGGTCTGAAACATAATGACAAAGATTAAGGTTAACTACAATTACGGCCTCATGGTTGTATGCCTCCGCCAAGCAGTCAAGTTAAAGTTACAATTTACATCATATCCGCCCAGACTCATATGTAGCCATGACAGTTGACAATACTTCAAATATGGATGTTGCTGCAAAGAAGCTACATATTCTAGAACATGGATGCTTCACACACATCTTCAACCCGACAGCACAGAGGATCTATACAATCAGCACAGTTTTAAGGTGGACACCCAAGATGAGTATCACCAAATGAGTATCGACCAAATGTCTCCCCTTCTGTTCCTAAGATACAGGGCCGGAGTGGGACTCATTTTCAGCCCTGGAGTTTCATGCCTCAGACGGGCCCACAGTTTTGGGCCCACGACCTATTATAACCTTACATGTNTCAATCTCTTAGGTACAGCAGCAAGGGCCGCATTGAATATGGGGGATAGGTGGTGTCTCAGGCCACCTCCCCTGTTTAAACAGGGGAGGTGGCCTGTTTAAACAGGCACCACATATCCACTCCACCTATCCACTCCACTGTTTGTCAGACTAGTGAGGACTAGTCAGACTAATGCGTTGAGAACTGATGAAGCCGCTTGGAACTGGTACTGGAGTCTCACCTTGGTCTTTTGGAAATGTTGCTGGGCATTTCTAACTACTGACATTTTTAGACCAAATCATGAATTGATTAATTGACAATAAAATCTTTAGCTGGCCGTAGCTGGATGCATCTTCTCTATTGGCAGAGATAATAAACATACATTCATTTAGACAGCTGCAAATTCTTTGAGTTCTCTTTATTGAAAAAAGTATTTAAGCAGTGCAATTAAAAATCTGCAGAACAAATTGAAGGTACAGTACTTACATACAGTACAATATCAACAACTGACAAACACACAGATACAAAGTGAACCTGAGTTGCAGTGTACTGAGTGACAAGTATGAAGTCTGTAGGACAGTAAAAGACCGTGGCGTCCTGCAGATCAAAAACTGGCAGATAATAATACAAAAAAAAAAACATCTTGGCACTTGTTTCAGTAAATCCAGTCACTCAACTCAACAACTGATGCACATACATACGTACATAACATCTGTGGTCTACACATGCAGAAATACCCAGATATGATTCATGCACGAGTAAAAATGTCCCGTACTCGCAGACACGACTGCTGCTTTGTGCATTTTCCATCCACTACTGCTGTTTTCTCAGTGCGGTTATTCTCAGTGAGACGAGCCAGACTTCACGTGGCTGACGGCAGAACAGTTAGCCTCTCCTGCGTAGCAACAGGACGGTTTAAATGAACAGATTGCAGTGCTGAGCGGGTCGAGGCTGGGAAACCTTGTCACACTATGAGAGAGTCTCTGCTCAGTGCAGTGCTCTGTTAAAGAAATACACCGAGAGCCACACGTTAGAGACTTTACATTCATGCTCATGCCAGGTTAGTCCAGCCTGGTGCCTCAGATCACGCACAGACATCGTGCAGCTGAAGGGTTAGTAGTAAAGACAGATGTTTGTTGGAGCCAGTTAGTAAGCGTTTCTAACACTGTGATGGTTGCAAGCCTGACCAGATTATACTGTTCATATCTGAGTTAAATCAAAAGTGTCATTTGCTTTTGGAAATGTATGCAAACAATGTTACAGCTACTCAGATAAAATTATGTCAGAACTAACATTACAATGATTCAGTGTTAAGACCACAAATCTTGTATGTACATTGCACAAGGGTCAGATTATTAACATAATACTGTAAAACATCTTCAAATGTCTAAATACAAAGCTTGCACTATTCTACTTTGTTCTTATTGTCAGTAAATCCCATGAAAGGACCAAAACCTGCTACCACTTATTACGTTTGTCCTGTAAAATTTCAATTACAAGCTTAGTCCCAATTAAACACCCAGTTCCTTTTACTAGCCCGGTGTGGCTATACATTTCTCAGTCAGACACCTGGTCTGGTTGACAAGCAGTTCATATTTTTATAGAAGTTCTTTGGATATATAAAACCGGGTTGTTGGCTATCTCAAATTATGTGTCCATCATTCCTTGATTACCCTGTGAACCACTAATCTACTCCTGTTAACGGTGCATTTGTTAGGGATTATTTTCAGCTGTGGATTAATACATATTTGGTGAGCTAGTGCAGTAGTACCCAAACCCTGGGCTGTGCCAGACTTCAGAGAATTTGCTACCCTTCTGCAATGATATTATAAGAATCAGCAAAAAGAGCTAAATAACTAACTGCTTGGAGCAGTTTGTGCATTGCTTTTAACTACTGGCATAACCTCTCAGGCACCACTACTGATCTTGACTAAACACACGTTCAGGAACATGTCTATCTTGTGTCTTTTCTCTCAAGTCACTGTAATTCCAGAATAGATGGGGCAAAGGACAGTCCAGCAGATGGCGGTAATGCCACACCTTTTGATATCAACCACCACAAAACTCAACAGTAGACAAAGAAAATTAGGCACGGCCACAAGTTCGTGTATGCGACAGAAGATGTAAGGGGTGGGCGATACCACAAAATTTGGTTTTGATCTGATACCACGCAACACAGTGCTGGAATCGCTGATATCGATTATGATGCAGCTAATGTACTTTCATGCAGGGGAAAGCAGTGTGTAATCATTTGAGAAAGTTTACGAAGCTACATCAGGCTTTGGCTGCACAGACGACACTAAACTTGTTTTTGGACTTTTAATGGGATTTGTTGACAATAAGAAAAATATGGAACACACAGACTTGTCCTGTAACTATTTACAGGATGTAAATGCTCTTTCCTGAAGAGCTGAGGAGGAAGGAAGTCCTTGTTCCTGCTACAAGTAACTCACCAGATTTCGGCTCCTGTCTCTGTCTTCTCGGCCGCCCTGTTGAAGTGTATGGGACATTCCCTGGGGGGGGCGGGTGTAAGAGAAAGGCCTCATGGCGGTGTCATTGGTCCTGTATCGCTCTGATCGGGGAGGCTCTACAGTACGGTACCGGTCTGCGGTTGAGTCAGCCCTACGGTACCGCTCCGCCTCCAGCTCAGAGTATGGAGGCAAAGGGTCCTCCTCTTCTGGACGGTTGCTAGGCGACCGGCTGTAGTAACTGTCGCTGCCCTTTCCTCTGGAGCTGCCTTTAGAGGGAGTGTCACTGTCCCCGTCCGGTCTACAGCCGCCTCTGTCCCCTCCCCGCCCCCTCAACTTGCTGTCCAGCACACTGCTGAGGAAGGTGTCGTCGTATCCCTTGTTCTGGGGCGGTCGACAGGGGCGATCACTGTCCCACGTGTCCCTTCTCTTCTGAAAAGGTGAGGGGCTGCGGCGACCCCAGCCATCATCTTCATCTCTGTAGAAGCGCCTGGGAGGGCTGTAATCCCGCTCGTAGGCCCGGTCTGGAGGCTCAGCCCGACGACCACGGGAGGTGTAAGACTGGGCGAAATCCTCCAGCTCGTCCAGGGAGCCGGTGCGCCCTCTTCTGCCCAAGGTCCTCCTCTGAAGGTGCTCTGAGCGAGGGTTCCACCTACAGCAAGGAAAAGCACACAACTCAACACACAGTGACACAGAGTTAATTATAATTATAGTAATAATAATAATAATAATGATCCATTTGATTTAAAGGAATAGTGTGCAGGATTTAGTGCCATCTAGTGGTGAGGACTGCAGCTCACATCCGGCTGAAACCTGGACAATTAAACTTCCTTCGATGTTGTTTGTTCAGGTGGTTTTTACCAGGAGCCAAATTATCTGCAGAGATCTCATCCTATTTCAGGTGATTATACCCTAAAGAAAACATTATATTATATTCCATTTCTGCCAATGTGTCCTCCTAAATCCCACACTCTGGAACTTCATAGGGGATTTTCAAGATATTCAGACACTTATATGATATATTAGTTCAGTAAAAAAATAACCTTATAAACAAAAACACAATAAAAGCACATAGGCTATGACATAAACTCAAATATTTAAGGTAGCTTCATAGACTTGGAGGAGTCATAGTTCCAGCTATGGAAAAGGCTCTGTCAACCCAGGTCTGCTGTTTGGTCCTGGATGGTGGGAATAAGAGTTTGGTGAGGAATGAGGTTAGGGCGACCAAATCCCAACAAACCAAATGCTGAAAACAGCACATACTGACAAAGACAAGACCGTAAATTACCACCAAGAGACACAACAAGACCACAAGAGATGGAAAGGAACTACAAAGAGACACAAAATAACTACAAAAAAAGGCAGAACAACAACAAAGAGATATAAACTGGCGACAAAGTGACATAGAAGGTCCAAAAACAGACTCAAAATGACCTTATTAAGATACGATATTACCACACAGAACAAATACAGAAACAACAACACCAAGGAGCCCTGTAGCAACTTGAATTCAGCTAGGCAAACACAGAACTGGGGGTTTGATCTCAGACCACTCAGCTGCCCCGGGTCAGCAGACTTTCTGTTGCTGCCATTACACAGGTTAGACCCAGTGCTACCACTGGTCACAGACCTGCTGTCATCGCCCCCAGCGCTGGGGTTTCTCACTGGCTGAAATCAAGTTGCGACAGCTGAGCTGAAGGTCCATCTCCGGAGATGCAGCCTGCTGACCTCCCAGAGAAGTAGCCTCCTTGGCGGGGAGTGAGGCAGAAGGACTGCAGGATGTGATGGCATTAACTAGCTAGCTGATCTTATTTGGCTTGTCTCATTTGTGTTGTGATAAACAGTGTGCCGCAATGATGCCACACACGCTGTCTCTTGAGTACAACTACAGATTTCTCTGGGTTTGACCATTGTTAAAAACATTTTGGATAATGTAAGTACACAGCTCAACAAAATATACAATATAGATCTAGTTGTTTTCGCCACACCTTAATGTGGAAATGTTGAATATTTTATCTTTAAAGAACTAACAATACTACTTCATGGGAACGTAATCCTCTCATCACATAAACACACACATGTACTAAATAACACCATAATTATACCTTCTGTCCAGCTCGTCATCTGAGAGGTTGCCTCTGTCCCGTCTGGGCCTTCGACTCTGTGTAGGTGGAGCTACTCTTAACACTGACTGGTCATCGAGGTCTGCAATGGGCGGGAGCGCCTTCATCTGCACCGTCTGATAGGTGTGTCT